TTTAATTTGAAAATGACCGATAAAAGAAGGGATTCAAGAGTAATGATGATTTTGAGAAAGCTGGTTGTATTTTGAGGATGGGTAATGATTATGAAATTTGAGATTGAATGTTTGGTTTTTGAGAAAGATTTTTGATGGTTTTTTAGAAAATTAATGGGATTTTGAGATTGGTTAATGATTATGTGCTTATGAATTTGGATGATAAGTATCGATTCGAAAAATGGTTATGGATTCTGAAAGTAGTTATATTATATTTCATATAATATATGTATGTGTTAATGTAATGGTTAGAATTATAACGGGAGATGACATTCTAGAAAAAATTTCTTTGATATAATTTCTTGCTTAAATTACTAATCAAAGTATCCAGAAACTTTTATATCATTTTTATTCACATTTAAAAGAAACTTTTAATTTTTTAATAAATAAATGATAATGATAAATGAACTTGCCCGAAAGTTTTTTGTGCAAATATTCTTCCTTTACAATTAAAATTTTGGGGTGGGTGTTTGGATATGAAATTCTGATTGGCTAATTTGAATTTCACGTATTAGTATGTGAATTCACATAAATTTCACGCACAACATTTGCAAAAGACATAACTAACATATCTAGTGAATTTGCCAAAATACCAAAACTATCCCATGCCTATTTATTAATTCAGTAAAAGGCGATATATTTACCCCATACACAAAGACTTCTATTAAGTGTTAATACTATGACAGAAACCAAAAAGAATATACTCGGGACTGGAAATGGCAATCTGTCCATTTCTAATTTGCTGAAAATTACAGGAATACTGGCAAGACCAAAATTATTCAAACAGAAGAATTTGTTTTAGAAGAAAAAATTAAACTTCAGTAACAAATTTGTTGAAAAAGTTTTCCAATTTCTGAAATGATAAAGCATGCAAAAAAATATCATAGCATTAAAAAAAGAAAGAAGGAATCTAGAAAATTAAGCAATCCTGTAATAAAACCATTGAAAATGTTGGAATGCTTGTTTGGTTCACGCCATATTATTACTCGAGAAACAAATTAATAGAAAGCCTTAAAGAAATGTCAAGTGGTATTATCGGCCTAATGACATAAGTGAACAAAAGATGATTACAGAAATTACAAATCAATTAGAAGGGAATTAAAATAGAAAGAATGTTATATTCAATCATTGTTTAGTTTGTCACGTTAAGTTTTGCTACTATTTTGTTTTATTATTTAAAATTAATCGATTGGTTGATTTATTGTATCAATTGTAATGTTTGAATTAATTATTAGAACGTAAGAAAATTATTTCTTTCTTTAATTTATTTATGTATGGACGTGTGTGTCTCTTTTCGAAGTTGTTCTATATATGGGAACAAATTTTGTTGTTGAAAATGTCGGATTACGTAATAAAACCATATTAATATAGGAAATAATCAATTAGTTAACAAATAGGATTATACTGTTGTTTTGTGTCAAGTTGTGAAAGCATGCTTAAAGATCGACATTTAACGTAAGGCAAATGTTTTGTTTCTTCAAGTGAGTGACAGAGCGATTTAGTAGAGAGAGCGATCGATCGAGTAAAAAGAAAGTGAAAAGTGAGGGTAAACGGCTCATTACAAATTCCAATGACTAATAAATGATCTTGCCGAAATTATGCCAAACTCTTTCAACTAAAATACATAGTTATTTCATATAAGGAGCGTACTATGCCGAAACTAGTCAAACTTTGTCAGCTTCGTCAATTCGTCCCCTTGGCGATAAATAGGAACTTTGGCATATTTAATTTGGCAACCATTCTTAATCACTATCGTTTTTGTTATTATTAATGATATTCTTGCCTCCTTGTATGTTACTACCAGAACTAATGTTAAACAAATTTAATTGATCAGGACTAAAGACTTGCTGTTGTTGCGCTGTTGTCTTAACTGGCATTATTACCGGTTGAATACGAGAGATACCAATATTAATATTGCAAGAAATTCATCACTAGCTGAAAATTTGGAAGCAGTTATTAAATCCATGATGATATTGTGCGTCAAATTCAAATCCATGTCAATTTAAATTGATTCAAACAAACCAATCAAAATTCTGCATCCAAATACCCCATCCCAAACAATTTACATTTGGCACGATTTTTCGAATTAATGCTTTCAGAATAAAAAGGATCTCTCCATAATAATAAAGTTGTACGTGCCATTTATTGACAAAAGAATAAAATTCCAATTTTCGGGCAAATCATCGAGGCTTAGATCAAATACAAAATTTTTTGACAATAAAGTAAAAATGCAAAGCCTCAAGAAAATAAAAAGCATTTTCGCTTGTCTTTTTTTTCAGCTATACTTATAATTGATTTATATATATATAT